ATCCCTTTGTCCTGATCCATGTTTCACTACAGTTTTATCACAGAGGTCTACACAGAGCTCCTTTGTTATCATGGTCTGGTTTTTGTCCCAACATAGAGTGTATATAAATAGGTGGGTGCCTTTCTTAACTACTTCCTTTACATCCTCCACACATATGACTATCAGCTCTTCACCCATCACCACATACTTCAAATATTCTGATGATGACACTGATATACTTTCACTACTCAATGACAACTCTGTTACAGCCTCTCAATGCCTCCATTTCAGACAATGGTGCACTGACAACTTCCTACAGTTCAGTGTTGACAAAACAAAAGACCTGGTCATCATCTTAAAAAAAAAAAAAAAAGAAAACACACACCCCACAGCAGTTGAACAGGTTATCAACTTCCAATATACTGGACTCATTATTGACAGTAAACTCAGCTTTAGCCAGCACAGAACTAATACTGATAAACAAACCCCAGCAGAGACTAAATATTATAGGCAAGAGTGCTTTTAATTGCTCCTCACCTCCTGTTGGTGCTTTACAAAATCACAGCCAATCCCATCCTGCTGTACTGTTCTCCCTGCTTCTTCATCATGTTAAACATCTCTGACAAAAACAAACTTATCAATATTACACACACTGCTGCAAGTTCATCTGCCTGCCTACCCCCAACCTCTCAGAGCCATCACATGCCTTATGCTGACGGTAAAACAGCACCGGTCACTCTCCAAATCCACACTTTACATTATTAGTCAGATGGCAAATGCAGGACTTTGAAATGGAGAAGAGCTCACTTTAGCAGAAAGTCTTCTGCAACTGCAGCTGTGAAAAGCATGCATGAGTACACATCTGTGTGTGTGTGTGTGTGTGTGTGTGTGCGCGCGCGCATTTATATGAGTTTAGGTCTTGATAGGTTGATTGGATTAGCATTAGAATTAATTCTGAGGTAGAACAATCAATGCAAGTTAAGTCGTTTATTCAATCAGTCGTGAGGTGTTCGCCATCACATGGCCTCCACCCCAACAAAAACAAAAACCCATGCAACCAACCAGTGAGGGAACCAGAAGTATCAATTAAAAAGAAAAGGAAAAAAACAAACAAACAACTAGGGCTGCCCCCTGAAAGTCGACTAGTTGAGTCAGTCAAGAGACCTATCAGTCGACTGAGACTCTTCTGGTCGAGCCTTTATTTTTATTTTTTGCCAGCCAGTGGGCATTGCAATGAAAGGTAGCCCCAGCCCCAGCTAGTTTGTCCATGACTTCTTCTCCTCATTTTGGTGTGCCAAGCAGCAATGTGCTCAATACATCTCCCTGTGCTTGGGGGGGAATTCCCACTTCACTGGTGACACTGTCTGATGCAGGATGCATGAGGTCCAATAACATTTAGCAAATTGTTGACCAGAACAAGGAGAAAAAGACAACAAAATCCTGTAGTACAAGACTCATAAAGGTGAGATTTATACTTCATTGGAAGTGTTTTCAAACATTGTGGTCTACTTTTACAAGAGAAAAGACCTGAACTGTGTGGCTGGTTTCGCATGTGTGTTTGGTTTGTTTACCCATCTCCATTAAAGTGCAACACACAGCAGTTTACCAACTATTTCTGCAACATGCATCCATCTGAATGGGACTAAAAAGCTAACAAAAATATACTGGGAAAACATTTCTATCAGGAATTATAAGAGGAATCATAAACACACACACACACACACACATATATATATATATACACTGCTCAAAAAAATAAAGGGAACACAAAAATAAGACATCCTAGATCTGAATGAATGAAATATTCTTATTAAATACCTTGTTCATTACATAGTTGAATGTGCTGACAACAAAATCACACAGAAATTATCAATGGAAATCAAATTTAGCAACCCATGGAGGTCTGGATCTGGACTGACACCCAAAATTAAAGTGGAAAACAACACTACAGGCTGATCCAACTTTGATGTAATGTCCTCAAAACAAGTCAAAATGAGGTTCAGTAGTGTGTGTGGCCTCCACGTGCCTGTATGACCTCCCTACAACGCCTGGGCATGCTCCTGATGAGGTGGCGGATGGTCTCCTGAGGGATCTCCTCCCACACCTGGA